AGAGTAATAATTACTATTAGAAAATATTGATTATAGGGTCGTATTTACCTCCAGCTAAAAATATTCACGTATGTTCAACTTCACGGAAAATTCCATGCGATTTGTTTCAAACGAACTGATATTTCATTCTGCGACGAAGCGAATGGGAGGTTTTGATTGGCTACGGAGAACGTACAACGGAAATTCCCCTCTACGTTGTTTCTCTATAGCTAATCGAAACCTCTCGTTCGCTCTGTTGAAAAATTCAAATTCTCATAATTTCTCGATGAAAAAGGCTTTGGAGAAATGACCGATAAGTTACCGGGAATTTCTCTTCGTTTCTGACGTAACTTACTGGATTTAGAACTCTAGTGCCGGGGGAGAAGGAAAAGCTGTAAGAGTACCAAGGGGACGCAAGAGGGGGAGCTGCAGGCGTTCGCGAGGAATTCTCTCGCCGAGCGAGCCGTGAGGATCCCGAGCCACGGAAAATCAACGTTCCTCCAAGGGGCGGCTAAACAAAAGGCCCGAACAAAAGACCGACCGACGTGTGTGCTCTGGTCGCGCACTTACACACCGCGCGTCCTTCAGCTCGCCTGCGGAGGAATGGAGGCCCAAAGAATTGCGCCAGGCGCGAAAAATTACTTTCGAACCCGGGAGGCTCGTCCAAGAGGAAAGGAGGAAAGGAAGAGCCCAAGCGAGCGCGAAAGATCGACGCCAAGTGGTAACCTAACCTCTTCACCCTTCTAACAGATCAAGATAGATCGAGCGGTATAGCTAAGCCCTCGGATACCTCACGCGATAGTAATAAGCGTAATAAGGACCGGCCGATAAAACTGCAGAAAATTCAAGATGGCGTCCTCCAGCTGCGATGACGACTACCGTCGAGCTAACCGAAGAGGCTCATGTACCGAGGAACTCTCAACGAGACTTCTGACGGCTAAAATGTGCGACTAAAACGGCCCGACCGCTTGATTAAGTGGAATAATTGAATCGAGGAGCGAGGAATTGCATGGACTGAATCCCAGGCTTAAGAAGAGAGAAAAAAAAGAATCCCGGCTTTTCTGGCCCATTGATTTCTCCGAGCGCGTTAAGCACCACGACGAGGCGAGTCTAGGGCTTCGTGTGTCGGAGAAGTGTATGCGGTTACACGTAATAGCATTATCCGTCTAACACCCCACAGTCTGGGGTCATCGGCCAGACAACCGCAAATGCATTATTTAACCTGTGGAGGGTGAGCAACCCTCGTAATCGTTTGGGGTACAAGACCTTCCCATCCATCGCTGCCCATCAGATCTGGACCGTTCGGACTTGTCCAGAACTCTTGGCTCAGTGGTGGACCTCGTTCCTCTGCTCCAGTTCCAATAAGTGCAGTTAAGCTGCGCTTCCTGGGTTCTGGAAGATGGAGTCTCGGGTATCAAACCGGACCACCGATCAACTTGCAGCGACAAAGCACCGCAGCAAGGAAGAGAGCTCTTTCTGGGTGTCATCTTCTTCGAAGGACATTGTACGTAGCCGTTGCCTCTCGTGACTCGAGCTCGTGCAAGAAGAGGATTTTCGTGAGCCGACAGCCCGACGGGGCCCGGCTTTTCTACGCAAATGTCGGCTCACTTGAAACTCCGAGAGATCACGACACCCCATTGGACGAGAGAGGGTCGATATCTCGGGGATTATTCCGAAAACCTTGGCTGGTGGTTCCCGGCGGAATGTTGTGAGACCTTCCGAGATGCCGGGAACCCTCGTTCCTTGACACACAAGATGGCGATCCGATCTTAACGCGGTGTTGGCGTGTCCCTTATCGCAAGTCCCGAGTACCGGGTTCATGTCGCTCTTGCCTGGAATGGCTTGACCAGCTCTGGCGCTTGTCGATACACACCACACCATCAAGGTTGAGGTTGCAGGACAAGGTCTTCAGGGCCCTCAAGGACCCGCAATTACTGCAGTCCAGACCAGCTCTTCGTCCCTTTTCGTCGGATCTCTAGCGTGTCCAAAATGTCTGGGTCCTAAACGACCGTGCTTCGCTAGCTGGCCAAATCGGGTGTAAAGGAGATTACGTGGCCCAATTCCATTACTGGATGAACACGAAGCTGGATGAAGCTGGATGAGTGGACTGCTCATATCCTGGGATCGCTGGGATTAAAAATCCCACCGACAAGGATCCCGCTCCATCATCCACTTCTGCAGCTTCTGGCGCAAAATGGTACCTTCTTCTGGGTCGACTGATGAAATTAGATCGTTCGATTTGTTTTACTTATCGCCCCACTTGGAAGTAATGTACCTCTACCGAAGAGATACGCAGGATGTCGGGTCTCCTCGTCCGATGTTCTGCTCCTAGTTCTCCCAGATGAAGATGGAGCTAGGTCTCCCGTTAAATAATGACGGCGATAAGTCAGGGGGGAGACGGGGATTAAATGGCCGGTGAATTCCCGCCCTCGTGCTATCGAGAGATGAGAGAGAGGGGAATCCCGGAACGAGACGACATTCGACCCGCCAGGGGGGATACATACATTTTCTTGGCGCTGATCCTAGGTCAAGAACTTTTTGCGGCCTCCAACCGTGACAAATGTCTGGCCACCCTCTGCTGGCACCTACCCCTAAACACCAAGAGATGACTTCCCCTGCTGAAGACCTGGGAGTACCAGAAATTCCTTAATAATTTAGCAGTTTAGGCCAGTTATTTAGAAATCCCTGCTCTTTCGGGTGGGCGGGATTCAAAGATGAGTCGAAGGGGGAATCTGCCTTCGTCCCAAGACAACTTGAAACAGTTTGGACCAAGTTAGTCCGAGCATGCCTGGTTTGGGAGGACAGATCAATACACATTCAGAGTTTGGCGCCAGAGGTCAGCAATTACAGTGGAAGGGAGAAGACACCCTCTAATCTCGCCCCTGTTCGCAGAGAATGGATGCCCTGCTTTTCAATTTCCCTGAAAAATATCTGAGTGCCGAGTTGTCGGTAAATTCTCAACGCTCTTAAGGTAAAATGAGACAATTTGCAGAGGGGAGGAAAACGAAGTGAAATAAAACGAAGGAATGAATTAATGAGACGAAACGGAACGGAAGAGTCCGTCGGAGTCCATTCTGGTATTGTTAGGCCAAATAAGGAATGCACGAGCAAAGCGACATTATTAAGAGCGGAAGACACTTAATAACTCCGGATGATGTATACAGAGACAAGCTGCTCCACCCTTTGGAAGAGGATACAGAGACTTTCCGGTGAACGATGATCGCGTTACCCTCGGGTAATTGAACCTCTCTGTAGTCCTCTCTGTCCCTCTGCCTCTCTCTCCAAGAGCCTCCTATCCGTTTATCCTCTATTCCGTTCATCCCCTTCACACTTCCGACACTGCCATCAAACCCTCTAGATACATTGCCACTCCCACAGTGCCTGCTCTTCCACGATCTGACAAATGCTACTTTGACGGCGCCGTACACGCGAAAAGCATCCTTCAATCACCCGGGTTATCGGTTGATTTCCCACTTCTTTCGTCACCAAGATGCTTACTTGGTTTTCAACACGAACCAAACTAGTGTCATTTGAAAGCTTGTATAATTGTCTGTAAATAAGACCATTATGAGGATTTCAATAACCACAGTAGTTTCCAAGATATGGCGGTTTGTTTCTTCAAGGTTACGGACCCAGCCGCCGGTTCAAGTAAAGATACACTCCACGTGCGAAACGTACATGACGTGGAATTCAGCCGAAAGTCACACTTATATTTAATTTCCGGGTTATTCCTGCGGTTCAGTGGTGCCTTATTTTTTTACTGGCAATTTCACGTTTCCTCAAATATATCGCTGTCATAAAAACTGCCTCCGCGACGTACAGTTACGAAATAATTAATGTCTAAATGGAGAGCGAACGGATGCGGGGAGCTCTTAAGGCACATCGTCACCACCGGAATCTGCGCTCTTATACGATCTGATAAATGCTGCTTTGACGGAGGGCTTGTTAAAAGCCCTCTTCAATTAACCTACGAAAACGAGCTTTTATGTATACTTTTTAGCCTCTTCCGTCGAGTACGCAACGAGTAGTCTGCTGTTCCTGAGATGGCCCGATACGGCTCGTCAGTGGAACACCTCGCTGGATGGTTCGGACGTGTTTTCGAAATAAACAGAGCACCAACATCCCTCCACGGGTGATATTAAAAATTACGCCACATCTTCCCCATCAACTTTCCGCCCACCTGAATAGTTCATCTCTAAACTCTTATCGCCCAGGACGCGTATATTCCGAGTTATGAACTTTTTTAAAACGGCGCCACCAGCGGTTCCTGCACACCTCTGTCTTCTAATAAACGTCGCCTTGATAGCAATCATCGCGTTAAAAGCGCCTTTCAGCTTATGCGAGAAAATGAGCTTTTACGCACAGGGTAAACCCGCTTTTTATCCGACCCCTTTCAGGTGATTATTTTCGCCGAGGTGGAAATTTCATACGACCTGATAACAGATAAGGAATAAATATTCGGCCTCAAGATTTTCTGGGGAAGGTGCTGCAGTTCCCTTTTCTAAACCTACTTTTTATTCAACCCCTTTTGGGCGATTTTTCGCAGAGGTAGGAATTTCGTAGAAATTGATAACAGATCATACATTTTCAGTCTCATGATTTTGTGGCAAAGGTGCTGGAGCTCCCTTTCCGTGACCCTTTTTTGAACCTTCTTTTTCCTCAACACCTTTCCGGGCGATTTTTCGCAGAGGTGGGAATTTCGTAGAAATTGAAAAAGATAATAAATTTTCACTCTCATGATTTTGTAACGAAGGTGCTGCAGCTCCCTTTCCGTGACCCTCTTTTTTTAAACCCTACTTTTGATTCAACCCTTTCTGCCGATTTTTCGCAGAGGCAGGAATTTCGTATAAATTGATAACAGATAATAAATTTCCACTCACGATTTTATGATGAAGGTGTTACAGCTCCCTTTCCGTGACCCTCTTTTTTAAACCCTACTTTTGATTCAACCCTTTCTGCCGATTTTTCGCAGAGGCAGGAATTTCGTATAAACTGATAGCAGATAATAAATATCCACTCACGATTTTGTGATGAAGGTGTTGCAGCTCCCTTTCCGTGACCCTTCTCCGAGAGAGCTCGCGCTGCTCCCGCCTATACTGGCTGTACTTGTAGAAGAGGTACATCCCAGGAAGAGCAAGGACCACCAGGGGCTTCATCAGGCCAGCCCGACCTCCATTGGCTCTCCCTCTCGGCTCCGCAGGTTCATCCAGATCCTCCAAGCGAGCTGCAGCTTCTGCCACAGCGGGCTCTGCAGCACCTGCAGCCGGCATCTCCCCACGTCTGGAAGAAGAACCACGCGTCAATTAATTTAATATAAATTTTCGCGATACACAAAACTCCAGAAGACCATTATTACAACTGCCACCCCCTCAAGATTTTATGAAAAAACCTGTACAGGACATTACGAATCTCACGAGTGACGTTTATGCCCTATTAATTAACGGCGCATCGGGCAATAATTGCGACGCGCGACAATGCCTTATCTCGGCATTGTACCCGACAGTATTGAACGGCTCACCAGCCGTTTCATTGTGGGACACCAATGCCGTCCCGGTTGTACATACTGTTCCTGTATACATGTACACGGTACCGGTAATCGTGAGGGATAGGGTGTCGTCGAGTGTTGGGGTTGCAACCCCATGCCTTGTTCGAGCTAACTGCATGTCAACTCCACCCGGAAAACGCCGAAAATCCGGAACAATCCCGCCATTGTTGCCGAACAACGTGAACTTCTACAGCAGGTGTCACGAGCGAGAGATCTCTAGTATCATATCATATCTGGTGATTGATATGTAATCACTTTTCATTCCTTTTATCCTTTGGCATAGTATTATGCGGACTGTACATAGAACAAGGGAGCGAAGGGGTTGCAACCCTATACCTTACCCGAGCTAACCTCTCTCTTGGGAGCTCCAAGAAAATAACCGGGGGAATGTTCATCGATACCAAGGACATATTCGGGGTAGATTTCGGACAGGCTCCTTTTATTGCAGCTGCAGCTGCAACAGAGCTCCCGTTTCTGGGACTGAATAGCGGCAAGACCGTCCCCATTCGTTTATTGGAAACCGATCGTTTTCTTCCTTTCTCCGGCAGAAGAATGACGAAAGCGCTGATAATCATCTCTCTTTATCCTTAATAATCCTTGGAGACTGGAAAACTCGCAAACTGCCTCAAGATACTATCCAGATAAAAATGAAGTAATTTCGGCTTAATACCCTTTATTAATAATCCCTTTGACGATTTTCAACGTGCATACTCGTCACGTAAAAAAGTATATAAATGTACATGTACTTCTATTCAATGCACCGCCTCTAAATCATGCTCCAAAATTGAATGTTCATTTTTTTATGTGATCGCCATTGAAACATGTACGATGTTTGTAATATGGAAGGCTTAATTAGTGGTGCTGTAAATTAAGTTAAAATTAATCTCGTTACGTATTGCGAGCTCGAATTAGGCTGTCACGTATGACCGCGAAACCGGGTATCCAAGTTGCAGTTTTCCACCCGCGCCGTTCCCCTCTAAAGGGTTGAATGAAATTTCGTAATCTACTTGCAGTTCGTTCACCGACTATATTTAATTCAGGAGTCTACTTGCCGGGCTATTCTTATCCGGATGGTCTAGAAATACGCTTAGCTCGGGGAGCGTTATGCAGGTGTACAGTGGCTGCAATTACGACTGCGACTTTTGTTAACCAGGAGTGATAACATGTACTATCACGCCGGGCCTGCGGTATCATATGCCGATATCAAAGTGAAATCACGTACGAATAGGAGGATTAATTTGAGTGACTTTATTCTGTTTTTAATAAAACTTCCCCAGGGTCTTGATGAGTCTTCGGGGATTTAAGGTCGTCCATAGAATAAGAAGCACTGAGAGAGGGACGCCTTCCCCGAATATATGTACCTTCAGGTTTCTCGAGGAGGTCTCGATACCTGAAAGATGAATCGAGATATCGATTTTCTGTCACGCAGGTAACTCATCGCCTAGGAACGTGCCCAATGCCTTCGAGGAACCACGGCCGGCCATTTTTAATGTCCAAGGACAAGAACGACCGGGAAAGTGGAGGCCCTCCACGGCGCTCTCTTTGGATTTATTTTTATGCAATGCTGAGGACGACTTTCGGAAGAGGTCTCCTCGAGACCGCTTTCCCTCGGAAGTGTCCTTTGTCCCTTGAAATGAGCACAATTATCAAATCTCATGCCGAGGGGGAAAAGAAGAAAAAAGAAAAAGAAACGAAAATCGTCCTTTAAGCACGCGGACGTTAACGAGGAGTGAAGAGGGCGATAAAATTCCTATGCAGAATTCGAGCTAAGAAAATTCCTGAAAAATCTCAGAAATACAGGTTTAGGGTTTGGAAATGTATTTAGAGCGTATTTTTACTCGGCGATATATTCCGAGAATTTTTGATCGACTCCTGAAGAATTCAAAGGGACACTCGTCTATTTTCCATTTTTGAAATGCCGAGACGAGTCGGGATCTGGTGCATCAGGAGTAGACCTCGAAAAGTGCATTGCATATTCAGAAGCTATGCGGATGGGATAATTGGGTGGTTTTTACATGGCAAAAGGAAAATCGAAAAGATATTCGAGCCACTTCTGGGGAAACGCACACTCATCGGGAATTATGCTACCACACGGGCATATCGAGCCATCTACAGGAATTGATATATTTTTGCCTTGACACGGTGGACTCTGACGGTCGGAGAACAAGGACACCACGGGAATAACATCGGCCGCGATAACACCGGCTGGGAAGGATTTCCATTTTCCAGGACAATTTTTTTTTTTTATATTATTCCTCGCGAGCCGGATTAACGAGTGCAGATCCAGACATTGTCGCCGGTCCTTTGTGTCCCAGGATCCCGGAATCAAACTAATCCCCTCGTCAAGTACATTTCATTCCACGGTATTAAGGAATCAAGAATCTCCAAGAGGCAACGAAAGAGAATGAAACAAAAAATGTTTAAAAATTAAAATAAAAAGAATAGTGAAAAATATATGTAGTATACATTGCCGTGAATCATTAAGTGATCGTCCTGTGACTAATCGCTTTATTAAAATGAATCGCGTTCGATAATGTCAAAGGTCCATGTATCGATCCCACCTATTATTGATAATTCCCGGTATGATTTATATACTTCGTGATTTCGATGCATCTCATTGTGGCATCAACAAGTGACCGTCGGCGAGCCCTCGAAAATCATCGGCCTCGATCTCGTCGATGAGTCAGACGGCATTTAAAGGCAACCATGGAAAATGGCGGTACAAATGGAAAAAAGCTAAGATTAAAAAATAACGACCCGTTACCGAGCGTCCCCGCGAAGTCAATTACTATTGCGGAAGGAAACGGCGAAGAGGATCGAGTCCTCTTCCAGTAAATGGACGCGACCTTTGAAAAGTTCATTTGCCATTAGCCATTATTGAATACGAATTCTTGCCCTCCCGGCACGCTAAATCTCGATTACAAGATGTAAAGACAGCAAATGAAGTCGACGAGTCTAATAGAATTCGAGATTAGCCAAATTGAATGGCCTCGAATCTCGTGCAATTAAATGCAATCGAGTTATTGATAACTCGTACACCAGGGGGAAAAAAAAAAGAGTCCGAATTAAGCGACATTAATTTTAACATTTATTTGATAATTAATCTTAATCAAAGGAGATTTTCTGAGGGTGAACTCAGGCCCCGATCAAATGGGCGGATTAATTTCCAGGGGGAATTGCAGGATTTTTTAGCCGGGCTATAATTGAATTTGCGCAAAAAGAATCGATTTAAATTACGACTTGGCAGATTAAATCTTGGGCCCGGTTTTAATAAACCCGATAAAAAGTGGGTGTCGCCAGGAGCGAAGTCCTTTGGGACCGATCGATACCTCGAAGGTGTAAGAGAAAACATGGGGTGGCAAATTTAAAGTTGCTATCGATTTCCCAATCAGGGGAATACACACCGCCAGTGATTTCCCTGGGACGTTATCTACACGCGACATCGAATGGCCATTTCAACAACCGCCGCTTTCCTTATCCTGGGAATTTGGCCGACCCGCCCATAAATTCGACCCCCGAAAACCGGAAGGCTTCCCCGTTCCCTTTAAACAACCTTGCTCCACTTTTCAGCCCCTCAAATCTCGATTCCACAATTGATATTACCGTTCGACCCTTAATACCCCTGATACAAATGGAACGTGCCCAACGTGCAGGATAAAATATTAATCCATCTTGTAAATTTAGTTCCACGTAAGCGGATGCATCGATCAGCTGATTTGCATAAACCACGCCATGTCGCAGCTGAGATGCATCCGGCGCAGCACACCTGCAGCCGAGCCACATGGCACGCAGCAGGACATAGTTAGGCACAAAGTGCTGCCAGTACCTGCCATTCATCTTTATCATGCCTAAGCTCCAATGATACGACAGAACTTGAACAAAAGTAATCCCTAAAGAGACCAAAATTCTAGACGGGTCGCCTATACATAAGTCCACTGGTCGACTCGCTCGCAAGCTGCATCCCGGACGCTGCATTTCGCACATCCAATACTTTCTCTGAAACGAGTCACGAGTCGACTTTTATCAACAGTCCATTATTAAGATTAAGACCAGAAAGAAAAGAAATTTTAATTATTTTCCTCATCACCACTCGCTACAACTAATCCAACCCTATCGAAATAAATTCACATCGACCATGTCCATATTTCCACCATGTACAGCAAGGCTCTTGGGCCCAATAATAATAAACCTAGAATTTACCCTGATTGTCTAACAAAACCTACTATTCACTTTTCGAGGTTCCGACATTATCAGACTCAGCTGCGTCTCATGCCAAATATTGCCCGAGTCTCTTTACCCGAACCAGTCATAGCAATGGACTGCCGCACATGGCAACTCGACGACCGAGACTGTTCTACCTGAAATACCTTTTAACGTCCATGTCAAGCATTGGGCGCTTAAATAAAAATCACAACCGAATCGCGTCTAATTATTGTTAAATCAGTACTTACCAGGCGCGCGAGTAGATCGCGAATCAGCAGCGCTGCATGGCCGGTCGGCGCGTGCCGTAGATCGGCGTAGGCAGCGCCACGCGCGGCCGCCCGGAGAAGCAGCGGCGCTGAGCGGTGGGCTGCGCTGCCAAGCGCGGTGCAGGCTTGCTGCGCTGTCAGGCTGCAGGTCAGTGCTGCGCTGCTAGGCACCGCGGCCGGTCCAGCAGGTGCGTGGGGGTGTCCGGCGGGTGGCGCTGCGGGCGGGCGAGATGTTGCCGGCTTCGTGGCCGGGCAG